GCCTCCAACCTACTAGGAATGGCCTCCAGCCTGCTAGGAATGGCCTCCAACCTACTAGGAATGGCCTCCAGCCTGCTAGGAATGGCCTCCAACCTACTAGGAATGGCCTCCAACCTACTAGGAATGGCCTCCAGTCTGCTAGGAATGGCCTCCTACTAGGAATGGCCTCCAGCCTGCTAGGAATGGCCTCCAACCTACTAGGAATGGCCTCCAGCCTGCTAGGACTGGCCTCCAACCTACTAGGAATGGCCTCCAGCCTGCTAGGAATGGCCTCCTTACTGAAGAAAGTAGGCGCCTACTTACTTAAATAAAAGCAAACTTCTACGCTCCTAGCTACCGGACGCAGGACAGCTTACGCTCGCACTAAGCTAATACAGTAACGTAATATTTTTTTTGGGTGGGTTACATATCATGTCATAAGAATATTCTGACACGTGTAGACATACCGGAACTTGAGAGAGGAGGGGGTGAACGAAAGGTAGCAGGCAATCACAAGTAACCCTGGTAGAAGTCCATGACGGCGTGAACCGGCGCAGGAGGGATTTGATCCAGGGGGGGGCCCCCCCCCCGCCCCCCCGACGAACAGAATCAACTCTTACAGGACCAAACTCAATGCACAATCCCAACTCCTGATTGTAATACATTTTTGCTAAAGCAAGGAGAACTCAGGTAGCTCAAGCTACCTTTCGTGATAAGTTAAGCCAACGCCGTATTCCGCACAAAAGTTGACATCATGTTTTGAGATGGCCTGTGCCTTTGCCTATGCCTGAAGACCACGTGCCTATACTCCTGACATGGCTCAGTTGTTGGAATCATGTTTCTTTTGATGCATCAAAAAATACGACACAGTATTTGTTCAGGGAGCTCTGTGATCATCATTGGTTTGGTTTGTCGGGCACTCCGCAAAAAAGCACCCAAGAGTCAAGAGATTTCAAGAACAAAGCAGCGATGACCACCCCAGAGGTCATTGCTGCGACGCCAGGTGTGCTGCATTTCTAGGCAAAGGCCTGAAATTATTCCACGGGTTGTTGACAGCTCACATACCTATGGAAACGTTCTGTGCATCTTTTCCTCCTCACGGACTCTCCAGCGATATTTAACTCATTCTATCTAGCAAAATTATTCTCAAGGGTGGTTTGACATCCACGATGTTTGTTATTCCCATGGGTTACTGAGTTCAAGCTTATCACATGTAGCGATGTTTTTCTCGGGGGGGTTGGGGTTGACATCAAAGGGTTTATTATTCTACCTCCCCCAGTACATAGTTTTCTTGAACCCCCCTCTCGTAAGCTACTAGTAACAAAGGGCATCGCTACTAGGAGCAAGGACGCTACTAGTAGCTCCTGGCATTACTACTAGGAACAAGAAGCTTCACTTAACATGATTCCAACAAAACTATTCCATGTGACCCCCACCCATCGGAATAATCATTTAGTGGATGGGCCCACGCTCTGGCTCCCCGCCAGGCCCCTGGCCGTTCTTTCGGCAGAGCCATACGCTGTTCACCGTTCTTGTCAATATATTCCACACCAGCCTGTGCAGATGCAAAAGTAAAAACTGAACACAGCGACCATAAGATGGGTCATGGTCAGCTTCGATGCCTTGTACTTGCTCAAAAGCTTCTCATCCTGAAAGAAAGGAAGCAAAAAAGCCGTTGAGTTGCTAAAATGTTCAAAAGCTTTGATGCATTTCAAACTTTGCAACCAAACTCACCTATTTTCTGTTTGGGTCAATTCGAACGCAAATTTCAGGTGCTTGCAGGCACCCTATGGCATCCCGAAATGACGTTCGAAAGCCTTGAAGGTCTGAAGGTGAGTGCACGTGCACTGATTGGACACGTCGACGGAATAGGACCATAAAAGACTTCAAGATCGAAACTGTCAACGAAATGGCCATGAACTGATACGTCTTCCCTTTGCTAGTAGGTTCGAGGCCATCGCTACTAGGTTGGAGGCCATCGCTACTTAGGGTGGAGGCCATGACTATTAGAAACAAAGAAAAAAGAAAAAGGAATAAAAAGAAGAAACTAACTCTTAAAAAAGTAACGAAAGGAACTAAGTCTATTTATGTGTTTCTGCTTCCCTTTGGTTCATTGCACGCTTTCAAATCGCAGCTTTTACAACGTACAAACGTACCACTGAGCACGTGGCCCCCTGGGGGGCAAGGCCTTTCGGCCCGGCAAAGTGTGAGACGAAAAAAAGGTGAACGCACAGCCGGTCTTAACAAGTGGTAATTAGTAGCGTCCTTGTTCCTAGTAAGGCCAGGAGCCCTTAGTAGCTTCCTTGCTCCTAGTAGCGATGCCCTCGGATGAAAAAAAGTAAAGTGTCCTCTGGTTTCTTTATCTGTAATGTCTCAGCTTAACCACCTCTCAAACCCAAGAAAGAAGGGTTTCGAGGCCTTCCAAGCCGGAAACATCAGCAAATCCACATCTTTAAGACGCCGGCAGCTTGGAATTGCTGTAAAAGTTCTTTCACCTGAAGCGTTCCGGCACCGAACCGACTGGTTCAACAAAAAGGGACTCCACCGACTTGGATTCTTCCCCTTCAAGAAGGCTCAAGCACCTCTGGGAGCCCCAACCGACTTCGAGTTCTCCAGCACCTTCAGCAAATCCTCAGGCATCACCTCCTGGCGAAGGGAGTATTCCAAATGCCCAGAACCGAGTCGTTCAATTCATACCACTCTAGCGATGGCCTCCAACCTCATAGCAATGGCCTCCAACCTAGTAGCGTACTAACATACTACTCAGTGGGTACATACATGTACATACCGTCCTACTGCATGATCTGCTTGATACGTGATGCTCTCGCCTCTTGAGCCCCCATCCACTGGACAAACATTGAAATACGATCCTATCTGGCCGAGCAATTCACAGGGGGCTCCTGGCCTTACTACTAGGAGCAAGGACGCTACTAGGAACAAAGGGCATCGCTACTAAATTGAACTCTCTGAGCTCCAACTCCTGCGAAAACCCGTTCCATGATGTTCCAGCGGAAAACCCGTTGGAACATCTCTCCTCTTCGCTTAGGCCAAGCAGTTCAATGCCATTCGGCAAAACCTGAGTTCAAACGAGTTCCGCCTTCAGAGATTCGGAGTCAAAAAAGGGGTTCTGGTCTAAAACGGTCTATGGAGAAAAGAGAAAAAAAGGTCTAAAGGAAAAAGAGAAAAATATGTTTTACATAATTACCTGAGTTCAAACAGTGGAGTTTGACAAAGAAAGGTTGAAGAGACAGCGCCGGCTTGCCAGCTTTGCCCCTCCACACAGGTCAGAGACGTAGTTCGATGCAAAAGTGGTTTCACCTTGACAAGGCCAAATACCTTGTCCAAGTCATCTTTGGGTGCAAAAAAGATACGAGAAACCCGCAGCTACCCCCAGAGGCTACCTTCACCAAGAAACGATGAAATCGCCCAGGTGCTCACAGACCAGGACCTCGAGAGGATGCACATCGAAACAAATGCGAACCCACAGACCCCGGTGTGGTGTGTCTGCACCACTGAGAAATACTTACAACCGGACAACCTTAAACAACATATGGACAGAGCGAATTCAGGGACAGATTGATCAATGTATCGCTAGAAATCAGCTCGCGGTTGCCATTCGAACGCAGGTTGGGGGGCCATCGCTATCTTGATTCTCCAGTGTACTCTCACCTATGCCATACCTGTATGCATTCTCCTTTGTGCCTTTTTGACCACAAGAATCTGCCATATCAACCTGCTCCCACCAGCAGAAAGGCCAACGGAAGAGGAAAAAACAAGAAGCTCCGAACGTAACAAAGGGCAGACTGTTAGGACGCCTGTTGGACAGCTACGCAAGGTTTGAGAAAAGGCTCCATTCGTAGCGAACCTTGCTCCTAGTAGTACGGCCAGGAGCCCCGTTCGTAGCGTCCTCTACTGTTTCAAGGATTGAACATTGACTGCCTACCGTGGCTGGCAGAGTGCCCTGCCTCTCGAAGGAATTCTGCAGCTGTGGTCACCACCCGGGGCTGTCTGATTGGGTCCTGAAACATGATACTTTGCATAGTAGCGATGCCCCTGCTACTAGCTTCTGGCCTCCAACCTACTAGCTTCTGGCTCACACAATCACAACAAAGAGGACAGAATGTCACAGAACTGCGGACTCTGTCGATATGGAATGATACACCAATTCTATCCACCAAACCCACCGATTGGTGTCGATCAACGCCGCCCATAACGCTCCAACGTTCCCTTTTCGACGTGTTCCTCTTTTTGTTAAACCTCCTTTGGCTAACTCAAGCTTAACTTGGTCTTAAAATGAGTTCGATGCATCCTTGGATTGGCAATCTGCACACGCAAACAGAGACATGAGCGGTGAAGACAGGAGCCATGAGTGGAAGAGCTACCGATACCAAAAAAACAACAAACTGCCTAAAGATGGATCGAACAACGGTGCACAATGGATATGCCATGCAACTTCGTGTCCTCCAAAAGATCCAAAGGCCAAACACCTGTCAAATGTGAGGAACTGAATCCGCCTCTTTGATGTCCCCTTTTTGAGGAGGCCCTTTATCTTCCTAACAGAAGGAGAAGAGTGATGAAACAGAAACCTAATACCCACCTACTAGCGATGGCCTCACAAGGTGTGTACATGATGCAGTCGCTCAGTCTCTCATAACGCAGATAGGGCGACAAGCACAAGACAAGCACAAGTGAGGGGAGGGAGTAACTCGGGGGAGTTGGAGGCCATCGCTGAGTGAGGACGGCTTAAGGGAACGAGCGCTCCAGAGTTGCGATCTCCGTCCCGCGGGTTGCAATCGGTCTGTTGAGGAAGTAGCAACCCCATATTGCTCCTAGTAGCGTCCTTGTTACTAGTAGTATGGCCAGGAGCCCCTAGTAGCTTCTTGTTACTAGGAGCGATGCACTTGTTCCTAGTAGCGTCCTTGTTACTAGTAGCAAGGCCAGGAGCCCCTAGTAGCGTCCTTGCTCCTAGTAGAGATGCCCTTTGCTCCTAGTAGCGATGCCCTTGCTCCTAGTGCTTCCAGCTATCTGGGACGAAAAGAAGCGAAATGAAAGAGCCTCTGACCTGGTTGTGTTGGCCTCGAAAACAACCTACTAGCGATGACCTCCAACCTAGTTGTGCTCTTTTTGTGTTGTAGTGTGCTTTTTACAAACATTTGCATGTCTTTTGGATCTTTTTCTTCGGCTTTCGGAACCACACCTTCCAGCATCTTCTGCTCATCAGCCGTCAAGGACATGATTCGATGTGAAAGATTCTCAAAAAATCGATTTGAGCTCTGTTTCGTGTGAGATGGAGACGCCCTAACCACGTAGTCTGTGCTTGTGAAGAGCTCTGTAGTTTAGGATCTTGAAACCTTTCCTAAGGTTCGCCTATTGCCCGTTACATTTATTGTATGATGCCATCCTGCGGCGCAGCCATAAATTCCACACAAGTTTTTGGCAACATATCCAGCCTAGCAGGAGACAAGTAGGAGACAAGTACCACATTGAGAGCCACGCTTGAAGGGCTTCAGCGGCGGATGGAAAAGCCTTGGCAAAATATGCACAACAAAGCAGAATTCACCTACCTGTGCTCAAGTTAAGGGCACTCCTTGCTTGCCTCAAGTTCTTCATTGCCTTTCTAAGTTTTGCTGTGTCTGTGACTCCTTGATGGGTATGAAGGGCATGCGAGCTTCATAGCGCACTCCCAACTCCTCACGTGCCAATATTGCACGAGAGTGCTCGCACGTGCTCGTTTCTCCAACCTAGTAGGAATGGCCCCCAACCTACTGGCGATGCCTCCAACCTACGAGCGATACCCAGGAGCGATGGTCTCCACCCTACTAGCGATGGCTTCCAACCTAGGAGCGATGGCCTCCAACCTGTATATGGAAAGGTAGTAAGCAAAGTAAAGCTACTAGTAGCAAGGATGCAAAAGAGACAGTTGGGAAGCCTCTCCTGTCTGAGAAACGATTCCTAGATGTTCAGGGTTTTGGATCAACGTGCGACGTATCAAGATTTAGACAAACGGAAGCAATGACTTTGAAAACGTTTCAGGTCCTCAGGTAGCATCGAATGCTCGTACCATACCTAAGAACCCACAAGTGCTGAATCTGTGATGATGGGCGACGTCAGAACAAATGAGCTTGGTGCCAGCATGCGATTGCGGGAAAAGGGGCCGCGCTTCACTTTGTTGGGGTCCAAATATTCCCAACCTCAAGTGTTTCCAAAATGTGAAAGTGGAGAATTCTCCGATTCGGCAAAAAAAGAAACGTCGAAACGTCGAAACAGTTGACATTAGGAGTGTCACATTCCTCCTCCGAGGAGTACGCGCCCTCCTGGAGAGCGAAAGAGAATTTGCGGGTGACGGACTGTTTCTGTTCGTACTTCTTCTTCTATCTTTAGAACCCCTTGGTCTTCTTCTTTAGAGCCTTTGGACCAAAACAAACCCAGAAACGAACCCTATTTTTCCCTGTTCGGTTTGCTAAAGACACGCTCCGTCATTGACCAATGGCCCACATCCTCGGCCACGCTGTTACAATCTAAATCTGTACCTGCAAAAAGCCTGCCCCGAGAACGAAGAAAAAGCACAGGGAGAAAGACAATTGAAGGAAATGGAAGGAACTTGAAGATGAACGAAGAAAAGAACAGTGAAGAACGAAAGAACGAAAGAAAGAAAGGTCTACAAGACCCAAGAAGCAAAGGAAACAAATTGCTCTTTTGCTCCACTTGACTAGGGATCATGCCTGAATTGGCGCGTGGAGTCTGTTGGTCTGTTGTTTTTGTGGCTTGAGCCGAAGTTCAGGTGCAAACAGCAAATCAAATTTGTGGCGATGCACTGTTCTATCACCTAGGTGGAGGCCATCGCTGGTAGGTTGGAAACCATCGCTACTAGGTTGGAGGCCATCGCTGTTAGAAATGCAAAAGAGTCTAGACTCGAGAAATTCAGAGAGGACAACTGTGCACAAGACTGCAAGAAAAAAGCATCTCAAAACGAAATCTTGGTTCTCAAAAAATGTCCCGAGTCCCGCGCTTTGGCGAGGGGTGAGACAATAGTACAGTCATCGGCACGGAACACTTGGAACACTGTGCGAATCGGGACACTCTGAGAAACCTTGAAACACACTAGCCCCGGGCCAATCGACGCACCTGGCAGTTCATTCACCAGAGTGTCCTATGGTTTCCAACCTACCAGCGATGGCCTCCAACCTGCATGACCTCCATTCTAGTAGCGATGGCCTCCAACCTAGAATTCCAAAGACCGTCTACTAAGACTTTCCACCCAACGTGCCTTGTTTCGCAACTCTTCTTGTTCACGGTGAAGCGCCTCCAGCTTAAAACCGTTGAGGCATCTGCCCGTGTTCAATTAGAATGGTTGTCGGGTTGCATTAGTGCTGCTGTGAGTTGGATTTGGCAATCACTGGATCAAGAGGTAGGGAGCAAAGGCAAAAAAAACTGAACGCACTTCCATGGCTTGTGGGTTGGAGGCCATCGCTACTAGGTTGGAGGCCAAGGGCAATCGCTAGTAGGTTGTTTTCCTCCTCTTGGCACCAAGAATTGGTCTGTTGCTAGGATGAGGACACTCAAGTCTTGCATCACCACAAACTATTTACATTTGACGGTTCACGAAAAGACGCAACGGTTGGCGTGTAACAAAAACGTCCCGGCCACCCTTGCTGGTGTGCGCACCCTTGCTGTGGCCAGAGTGTGTGAACCAGGTACTATGTCTCACATATGCCTCATGTCCGACAAAATGGCAGTAAAGTGCAATAGTTTCTTGTGAAGGGTGGTGAGCCACGTTATTTCACAATGATGTGGTCCTTTCTGTTACTCGTTGAACACCATCTTCTTGTGAAGGACTCTTGAACGGTCCAAATGGGGGGCATAACCTGCATTGAGCCTGGTTGCCTTTCAAAGGTTTCCCCCAGATTGTCCAAATGAAACCTGCACAATGTTCGCCGTGGTCGTACAAGAAAACACAGTGGATCAAGGATGTTGGTGTCTGGCCACTGATTTGGTTGTTTTGCCGAATCTCACCGAGGTGCGTGTTCCTTCTTTCAGATCTGCGGTGAGTCGTATTGGGTGTTTTTCCGAGATCGTCCAAGAGTCCAATCCCACAAAAGTCGAGGCCATCGCTACAAGTAGCAAGAAGCTACTAGTAGCTCCTGGCATTGCCACAAGTAGCAAGAAGCTAGTAGGAACAAGTGCCTTACTAGTAGTAACAAGTGCCACGCTACTAGAAACAAGAAGCTACTAGTAGCTCCTGGCATTGCCACAAGTAGCAAGAAGCTACTAGGATGGAGGCCATCGCTAGTAGGCTTGGAGGCCCTTGCTGTAAGGTCTTTTCCGGCGTCGCTAAGCCGCGCGTTGGTCGTCCAGTTCCCACCTCATAGCGGCTGGCCAATGCTCTCACTCGTGTGTCCTTCAAAGAACGGCGACCGAATCGAACGGCTGGGAGCTTGCCCTTTGTTACTAGTAGCTTCTTGTTCCTAGTAGCGATGCCAGGAGCCCCTAGTAGCTTCTCTTTTCCGTCCACATTTGGACCTCTAGACCTTTATAGAGGAGAAAACAGGACTAGCAATGGCGCTCCAAGCTAAGAGCGACGACCGCGAAAGCTTCCAGTTTCGACTCCTCTCCAAAGGACGAAAGCGGAGTCGAGACTCCGGAGACCTGACGAAAGGCACAGAGCCAGACGACTTGAAACGAAAGCCTAAGAACGAGCAAGCTACTAGCAACAAGGTGCATCGCTACTAGTGACAAGGTGCCTTACTACTAGTAGCCAGAAGCTACTGATAGCGATGCACTTGTTACGTTCGTAGCTTCTAGCTAGTAGTGCCCTTGTGACTCCGGTTGACAGTATGAAGTTCCGATGAGAGAAGTTTGCTCGCTTGGAGCCCTGCAGCTGTGGAAACTCCTGTAGAGCCTGCCTCGATTCCACCAATTCAGACTGCGAAGGCAACTAGTAGTAACAAGGTGCCTCGCTAGTAGTAACAAGGTGCCTTACTAGTAGTAACAAGGTGCCTTACTAGTAGTAACAAGAAGCTATTAGAATTAAGTTTAAATTAATAGATTCTTGTTACTGCTAGTAAGGCACCTTGTTACTACTAGCGATGCACCTTGTTACTAGTAGCATCATCTTGCTCCTAGTAGTAAGGCCAGGAGCTCCTGGTAGCGTCCTTGCTCCTAGTAGTAAGGCCAGGAGCCCCTGGTA